CTGGTGGGGACTTAAACCTGAATACACACAGACTCATGGGGACTCGTGTCACGGTGGGGACCTAAATTGAGGTCCCCATGGGTAAACAAGCTAATAAATCACACAATGAAGTTTTTTGAAAATCTAAAAATGCAGAAAGTTTCCTGTGAGGGGTAGGTTTAGGTGTAGGGTTGGTGTAGGACAACAGAATATACGGTCGGTACAGTAGAAAAACCATTACGCCTATGGAGAGTACCCACAAGGATAGCTGACCAGACGTGTGTGTGTGTGTGTGTGTGTGTGTGTGTGTGTGTGTGAAATAGTATATCAGTCTTGCGAGTAAACAAAAAAAATTGACTAGCCAATGGCGATTATATTGCCAAGGTGTGCGTAGAGGGTTGAAATATAAAACTCTAAATAAATTCTTAAGTTATTATTAAAACAGGGTTATTATGGTTAAAACCAAGTAAATAAAAAACATTAAAACATAAAAAAAAAATCTCATTTTATTTGTTAATTTCAGCTATTTTGAAGTGCTAAAATAACTGACTAAATAAATGAAAACTAATAAATAAAAGTGAATAAACTATTTATACATTGAAAAAAATAAATGACAAACACGACAAACTAAAATTAAAGTGAAAACAGAAAATAAAAAAATAAAATCTGCAGTATCTTATTTAAGGAGTTTTTATTAAAACATTTAAAGTTAAATAAAACCATAAAAACGGTTTTAATTACTTGAAATAAACGTTAATTGAGAATATGAAAAAAAAAAACTTAAACATTTTATTTGAGCTATTTTGAAGTGTTATAATTTAAAAAAAAGAGAAAACTATACATTTAAAAATAATAATTAAATAAAATATTAAACATGACAAAACAAATTTACTAACACTAAAATTAAAGTGAAAACGGAAAATACACAAATAAAATCTAATTCAAAATATTAACAAAAACTAATAGTATATCAATGATACTAAAATAACACTGGACAGTAAAGGACAACAATATATTTTACTGAAAAATTACATTAACATGAATTCACAAAAAGACTTGGAAATATAGCTACATTATAGTAACGTATCATACTAGATATTGGGCTACTTCTAAAGATACAAGCGAGTCAAATGTCTAAAAAAGCACACATAAGCCATGAGGAACAAAACATCCCATCACAAATAGTCCTTAAACATCAAACGTGACTTTTACAGAATCTAATATTTGTCTAATTCACTAATTCCTGTCAGCTTACAAGATGCTTCATGAAGCGACAGCAGGAGCAGCTAATAATAGACACACGATCTTGTCCTTTATTGTGCATTGTGCTGACTGCAGACTTCCTGTATGACTGCTGCTGAGCTCCTGTGACTTATAGCACGATGATGCTTCTGCCACAAAATGACAAGTTGACATGAAATGTCAAGCAGTGACAGCAGCATCCTGCTGAGCTCCATATAAATCACTGTTTATAGGGCTGTAACAATATATCCTGTCACTATACATCACAATACAAAAATGCAACAATATGTATCGTGGACAGTTTACTCAAAATGAATGTTTAGACAGATTTAATTTGGCATCATATTTGGTAATCACACAAAATGCGGTGAACCCAAAAGGTCACTCATTTGAGCTTCCATGTTAATGATTACTAATAAATGGAAAAATAACATGCATTATTTAATAAAATATAATATTAAATTAATAAAATATATATTGTTATATATATATATATATATATATTTACAAATATATAAAATTATTTATATAATATCTATAAATTTACAAATGTTTATAAAATACAATATTGGATCATGGTGCATAAAATATGGTAAACCCAAGAATGTCACACATTTGAGATTCCATGTTAATTATTATAGCGGAAGCTAGAGATTACGTTTTATAAAGTTTAAAATATGGATATTTTCTCGATTCGCTTCAGGAGGCCTTTATTCACCCCCCGGAGCCGTGTGAGGCACTTTTTATGATGGATGGATGCGCTTTATTGGACTTCTTTTGGACTATTGAAAAATAACACCCATTCACTGCCATTATAAAGCTTGGAAGAGCCAGGACATTTTTTAATATAACTCCGATTGGATTCGTCTGAAAGAAGAAAGTCATATACACCTAGAATGGCTTGAGGGTAGGGCTGTCGATTCGTCAATTTTATTCCATTTTTCATTAGGTTACGTACGTGCATCTCGCAGCGGCTCTGTTCACAGTAAATGCTGTTCCACAGGAACTGTTATCATTTACATGTGTAGAGCGTCTCAAACTCCATCTCTGCATGTTGTTGTGAGTTTGGGTTTATTATAACGTTCATCTGGGAACGCAACGTGCGCCATTTCATCAGATTTGTAAGGTAAATCATTTATAAATCTACGCAAACACAGGAGAATACGTCATTATCTCACGGTTTCTAAATAAAAGCTTTTTGTTGTTTTGTTGTCCACATATTCATTAAATTACAGTGGCTATAGCATTTCTGTTGTAAAGAAATGGCCAGATATTAAAGATTAAGTGGACATTTGAATTAAATGATGCTTGGTCAATATTAAACAAGTATTAGTATTAGTGTAAAAATAATCATCAGGCTGTTGGCACTCCCTCTGCAGGCCTTTGTTGTAATGCGTACTGTACGTTAGCTCTATTGTTTATAATACATTATGTATTTTAACAGTTTTGTTCAATAAAACCATATGATTTCTTGCTTTTGATACTTTTTGAACTAATTATTATTGCCTCATTGCTATTATATATGTATTTTAAGTAATTTGAAAGGCTATTGTTCACTTACATCTATTTTTATTACCACAAAAAAATAAATTATAATTATAGGGCACTATGAACTCAGTTTTATTTCCAAATTCAGTTTTTTTTCCATTTTCATTTAATGGTTAAATTCAGTTTTATTAATCAAAAACCATGTCTAATTACTTGAGTTTTACAGTTTTATCTTTACCAAATTCTGTTTTCCATTATTTTCTGGATTCCATTTTAATGGTTCCATTAAATTTTAATAATCAGAAGCATCTCCAATTAATTGATTTTTTTTTTTCTTCCAGAAATACTGCACATTTACATTTTTCTCCTAAATAAATTCTGGTAAATAATATTTCCGGTAAATACTCATTTAAAAAGTGTTTTTTTGATTATAATTTTATTATTAGTAGACCAGAACCCGTGGATATGTTGTCATTCTTACACTATAATACTGAACTTTGATTTCAGTGGTTTGGAATGTGAGATGGACACTTGCTTCTTACACTCTGTTGCACTTTACTTTTGCTTTAAAAAAAGGATTTCATAGAAATTTGGATTTCATTTAGTTTAATAAAATATAGTTTAATAAAATATTCTTACGTAAAATAGTAGATTTTTTGGCGGGAAATTAATCGTTTAGATTAATCGACAAATTAGTCGATAGATTAATCGAAATAAAAATAGTCGTTAGTGGCAGCCCTACTTGAGGGCGAGTAAATCATGGGCTAATTTTCATTTTTGAGTGAAGTATTTAAATTATTTTAGAATTAAATTTGAATAAAAATAATGCCTTTAAATTATTCCAGCTTAGAGCAGGTCAAAAGAAAGTCATGCAAAATGTGGAAGTATTTCACTATTTCAGCAAACGTCATTTGTTTAATTTAGGACTGCTGCATAATTCTGTACTAAATTACCAGTGCAGTGATCAAGACTCATTTCATTATAAAATCCCACTGAAATCCCCTTCATCTCCATAAAGTGATTTTCCTACAGCGATGCTGTTCTTAAAATATCCTTTAACCTACATTTTAGACAAGACCAAGCCAGACTATTAATATCCAAGACATTCAGCAACATTAAAGCAAACATTCACTCAATGTGTTCCAAACTCATACAAATGACTGACTACTCTAGATACAATACAGTAAAGTAACAATATTTGAAGAATATTTACATAGATCTTTTTTTTATATAATGACAGTTCATGGTGACCACAGCTATAATATTCTGTCTGAATAGACCATAACAAAATTTATACTACATTTGCACTACATGCCAAAAAAACTACTAAAATTGAAGCCATTACTCACTGATAATCTTATTCTTCGCATATTCAAAATGGCTTGAATTTTGTCTCAAACTTCACTCAATGTGTTCCAAACCCATACAAATGACTGACTACTCTAGATACAATACAGTAAAGTAACAATATTTGAAGAATATTTACATAGATCTTTTTTTTATATAATGACAGTTCATGGTGACCACAGCTATAATATTCTGTCTGAATAGACCATAACAAAATTTATACTACATTTGCACTACATGCCAAAAAAACTACTAAAATTGAAGCCATTACTCACTGATAATCTTATTCTTCGCATATTCAAAATGGCTTGAATTTTGTCTCAAACTATCAAACAACAACCTAAAATTCAGTCTATTTCCATTCCTAAGTCAGTTTTTCCTCGTGTTCCACAGAAGAAAGTCACCGCTTCTGAATGCCATGATGGTGAGTAAATGAATTTGTATTTTGTGTGATTTATTCCTTCAGCACCACTGTACTGTACATACATGCAGCCAAAAATAAATGCGTAATGCCCTACAGATGCTCTCACCTGGCAGCTGTAACAAGTACTTGTACGGTTCCAGAAGAATCCTTTCAGAAGTTGCTCTTTCGTCTCCGTCCATCCCTCCGTTTCTACAAAGAAACCTGCTGAGAGAGAAAACGAGAGCGAGAGTAAAAACACAAGACTCCACAGAAGGTGACAGCTCAGTATTTTCTCTTATATCTAAACGCTCGGCGCACTCGTGCTGCAGCGGCATCTAACAGCCAATTATTCCTGGCCGAGTTGACATTAATTTGATTTGCTTTACTTCCTGGTAAACTGCTAACATTATGCATGCGGTGTCAGGCGCTTTGGGGTTTTCCCACAGTAAGCAGGGCTTCATTTGTTCCAGAACAAACCTATTTTAGTAGATCTCAATTTAACTTACTCTTGAAAGAAATTTATGATGTTTCATGAAATGTACAAGTATCTACAAAATGTGATATCCCTATTTAAATACACTACTGGGGTCAGTAAGATTGTTTAAAATACTCTTCTGCTGCTCACCAAGGCTGCATTTATTTTCTCAAAAATACAGTAAAAATTCTCAAATATTATTAGAATTTTAAATGGCTGATTTCTATGAGAATATCTGTTAAAATGTCATTTATTCCTGTGATCAAAGCTGAATTTTCAGCATCATTACTGTTTGGAATTATAAATATGAGCGTAGTTCGTCTATTAATATAATGCAAATGTATTTATTTTTTTGTTACTCAGACGCAGGCAGTGCGCTGCATGAGACAAAAAAGTAATATAGCCAAAACCACCGCATAGCCGCTCTACATGCATCTACTGTACATGCATGTTGATTTTATCAGACGATGCCGTGATTATAAATAAATGTCGTGTTTCGTCACTATTTAGAGTGGAATTTTTCTACAATATTCACTCATCATGACAGTAAAATAGGGCATTCTAAGTCAATATACTGCAGTATTTCCTCTCAATCAGTAGAAAATGTGGTTTACACCCGGTCATGCATGGAAAAAATAAAAAATAAATACCGTCATATACCGTGAAACCGGTATAATTTTGAAAAATACAGTGATATTAATTTTTGGTCATACTGCCCACCACTAGTCTTCAGTGTCACATGATCTTCAGAAATCATTCTAATATGCTGATTTGCTGCTTGAGAAACATTTCTGATTATTATCAATGTTGAACACGGTTGTGCTGCCCGATTTTTTTGTGGAAACTGAGATACATTTTATTTTTCAGGATTCTTTGAATGGAAAATTCAAAAGAACAGCATTTATTTGAAACAGAAATCTTTTGTAAAAGTATTACATTTCTTTAAAAAACAAACTTTTGAATTGTAGTGTACACACACATTTACATAACAGGTCAAAATGTTAAATTCATGTGAATCTAAGGCATTAAAGCTTAAATGCATGAAATTATTTGTTTATTCTGAATATTATGACTAAAATATAACTATTAATTGAATATTGGCGTTTTATTGCTGTTGCTGCCATTATATAAAAGCAATACAAATCAAGTGGCTTATTGCTTTATTAATGACTCATTGTTTTGAATGAATAATCCTAACTAGTGTTGGGCGATATGCTCATTTTTCATATCGTCTTATCGTCAGCCTGTGAGATCACCGATACACGATATTATCGTGCTAATTTATTTATTTATTTACCTAGTCTCATTGCCGGAAAGTGAACCAACTCCAATATATGGCTAAAAGCAGCCTAATGTTTTTAATATGACTGAATTTGTATTTAACATGATAATTTTATAGAAACATTGTAAGTTACAAATTATAATGCTTACAGTTCAAAAAGCAGCTACAGAAAACGAGCAAAGAACGTTACATTAAAGAACATAACTGAGTCTAGCGCAAGTATTATGCAATTTTAAAAACACTCCCGTCATAATCAGTGAAGCCATCTACACTGCATGATGAATAAATCTCTTACCCCTTATTTACACTGCACTTGTCTGCGGCGCGTTACAGCTCCGACACGGCCACCGGAGCTAGTCTATTTTTGACGGATAATAATAATAATCGTCTTGCTATCGTCATAGGCATCAGCAACAGGCGATATCTCTGACTATCGTCAATACACGATACTATCGTCTATTGGCACAACCCTAATCCTAACCCTATATGGTGACCAGATAAAATGTTGCTATTTAAACCATCAGGTGTTTAATTGTCTTGCCTATTTAATCGCTGTATGACTAAAGGACAACCAAAACCAGCACTTGAATTAGTTGGATTATTTATAAGTGATTTTCATCACTACAATTCACCAAACTGAGCAGAACATCAGATCTAGTGATGTAACTAAGTAAATGTAACTGGGTCATTTCATTCAGTGAGTTATATCTCAGCAGCTGAAGTGACGGTTAAACAGTAGATGCAAGCTTAAGCATCAATAGGAACAATTTATTACAGCATGTCGCTGTCATGGAAGCGCACCGCTAGACTCAAACAATTTCATGGACACAACAGCATCCCATCACTCAAACAGACACGGCCTCTTCTGGGCCTTTTAAGGAGAAGGGTACGTCTGCGTCCCACACCCCTCCAAGTTACGCCTACTACTACAAGTAGAGAAACAAGCGTGGATGTTATTGACTAAAACAATCTTCAAGTAAATTATCTTATGTTTTATATATGAAATGTTTGTAAGGCTATTTGTATTACTTTCAAATTACGAAATTTACGAAGTGTAAAGTAACAGCTAGTAGTAAAACATAAAATAAATAATGTAATCAAATTGATACAGACCTATGGCAATCATAGCTAAAAACCTACCCCTAACCCTACCCCTTACATAAAATTAAAATTTACTGTCGAGTTTCATAATTAATATACTTTTTAGAAACTGAAGCAAATACACAGGATGACTTGCGGTGTCTGGTGAGCTGCTATGTAATTCAATCTGTATGCCTCATCACTAGGTGGCGATAGTGAAGCTTAAAAAGTGATGAAAGTGAAGTAGAAGAAGAGCGGTAGTGACGACATCAGCGATTCCCTAATTGGCTGTTTCGTTGTAGGGGGTGTAAAGTAGGGCTCAACCGATTATCGGCACAGATATTAAGCATTTTTATGGTTATCGGTATCGGTCATTTTCAAAACCAATTTGCCGATAAAATCATTTAAAAGCATTTAAAGATTCTTTTTGTCAGAGCCCTTGTTATTCTTAATTTTGATATTAATTAAAATTTTTACACCAGACATATATCGGTTCAAAATATCGGTTATCTGTCCACTTGATCTGTAATAATCGGTAACGGCTCTGAAAAACACATATCGGTTGACCCCTAGTGTAAAGTGTAGTGGTAGGCGTAACTTGGAGGGGCGTGGTTTGTACTACTGCAGGACGCAATCGGATACACTTGTGCTGTGTCCGAAATCGCATACTTCCCTACTATATAGTATGTGAAAAACAGTATGTAAGGCGAGTAGTAGCCTATGTCCGAATTCATAGTATTCGGAAAACAGTAGGCGAGAAGTAGCCGGATGACCTACTACTTCTGGCGTGATTCTGAAGTGCGCATTGGATGGACACTTTACTGTCCCATGAGGCCATGGGAGAGAATTTATGAATGGAAATGAAGCGACACAACGGACACTGGTGGGTCACATGACAGTAGCAACATTTCCAAATTGATGGGGTTTGCCAATATATCGGCAGCAAGCAGCTATCGGCAAATATCCATGCCGATAGTTTTTCCGTGTTGCGTTCGTTGCTGGAGCGGCTGATAAGTTCCGCTGTCATGATACAGCACACAAGCAGCCTCTAGAGGCGGAATCACTGACATCTCGTGCTGTTTGTTTTGACATGTGAAGATGCGAGCTGCACAGAGCGGGACACTTCTGATGCGCATTTAAAACATCAACAACGAAACCATACATAATATACAGTATACTACAGTACATGTTTTCATATCATTATAAAGTCATAAATATGTTAACTAGATGCTGCATTACAACCCTCTACATTGCGAGTAAATCACTCGCATATGCGACTAAATCTTCACTCTGGCGACTAAAGGATGTCTAACATTAGCCAATGGCTAATAAATTCTCAGATTTTACTCGCCAGTGTGTGAGTTGGAGGCTAAGTATAAGTTTAGCACAGATATATTTTCACTCACAGAACACTCTGTCTGAGCGCTGCAGAGTTTCTCTCTCAGTCAAGCGATCTGTGCTATTTTTCAGTTCATCTAAATGGATGCGCAGCGCACCTGTATTTAACGTACCGTAAATTCTAGTGTGAAGGCGCACACCTTGCCGTCACTTTGTCTCACACACACACAGAGAGAGAGAGGGAGAGAATTGACGCGCTACGTAAACGATATTCTTTGTTGTATTTTCTTGTCAAAATAACAGCGT